TTACCTTAGGGTAAAGAATGAAAAAAGGGGCCAGGTAGTTGTGGTGCATATCTTTAATCCCAGCACTCGGGAGGCAGAGGCAGGAGGATCTCAGTGAGTTAAAGGCCAGACTGATCTACAAATCAAGTCCCAGGACTGCTACACAGAGAAATCCTGTCTCAAAAAACCAAAAACCAAAAACAAACAAACAAACAAATAAATAAAATGAAAAAAGGTATTTCAATCAAATGAACTTAGGAAACAAGCGTTACTCTTCTCATATCTAACAAAATGGACTTCTAATCTAACTTAGGAAAGATAAAAATGCTGATTAGGGAAAAATCCATTAAGAAGACATACAATCCCAACGTATATGCCCTGAACACAAGTGTATCCAATTTCACAAGACAAAGCCACAGATTAACCCTAGCACAACAGTAGTGGGTGACCTGAATACCCCACACTCATCAACTAACTTGTCTTCCCCACAGAGACTAATACGTGAATTAAATGACATTAAAGATCAAGTGGATTAACAGACCTCTACAAAACACTCTATCCACATGCTCTTGTCTGCAGCCCAGGAAACGTTCTCTAAAATAGATCACACACTGGGACAAAAAGCAAGTCTCAACAAACTTAAAAAAAAAAAAACTGAAATTTTTTTTTTGTTTTGTTTTTCAAGACAGGGTTTTTCTCTGTTTGTAGCTTTGGTGCGGGTCCTGGAACTAGTTCTTATAGACCAGGTTGACCTTGAACTCACAGAGATCTGCTTGCCTCTGCTGGGATTAAAGGCATGTGCCACCACTGCCCGGTCCTGAAATAATTATTTGTATTGTACATCATGGAGTAAGACTGCATGTCAACAAGAAAATCCCTAAATCACAAACTCATAGAGATTAAACAACACACTATTGAATAATGAAAAATAGAAATTAAAAATTCCTAATATCAAATAAAAATGAAAACACAACACACCAAAACTGTGGGATACAATGAAAGTAATCCTAAAAGACATTATGAAATCAGAGAACTCTCAAATAAATAATGATACACCTAAGGGACCTGGAAATAGAAGAACAAGTCAAATCTCAAATAAGTAGACAGACATCAATATAATCAGGAAAGAAATTAATGAAATTGAAACAAACAAAATACAATGACTTAATGAAACAAAAAGTTGGTTAACTGAAAAATAAACAAGATTGTTAATTCTTAGTCAAAATCAAATAAAGGTGTAAATTAATACAAATGGAGATGAAAGGTGAGTCATTGCAACAGATACCAATGAAATTCAGAATATCACTACATTTTCCCTTGAAATCATAATGTCAATAAATTGGAAAGTCTAAGAAAATTAATTTCTAGATGCATACTGTAGAACTCTAAAATAACTCTAAAGCCATTTCTGACAACTCTGAGGCCAATTTTGAGGCCTCTCAGCAGTAGTGTTCCCCCTCTCCTGGGAACCAAGGTCATAACAGCTACACATGCACTACCAAGATGTTGGGAACTTTCCATCTCCCTGAATAGGGGCAAGATAACCCTTAGGTGTGGTGTTGACTCAGTTCCTGGTGTTTTGACTCAGTCCCTGTGAAAGGGGCAAAGTGGCCCTCAGAAGTTCCCCCTTACCTCATCTGATCTGGCAACTGTTCTCCAGCCAATTATTGGTAATAGCTCTTTTAAATAAGCCAATCATAATAGTTACAGAACAACCCACACACACCCCCCCCCCTTGTTCCTGTGGCTTTTTCCTTTAAAACTAGCCTGTACCAGCCATTCGGGGGTCTTTCTGGCTCCTCGAATGCTGAAAGACCCTGTCATGACAGAATTAATAAAATCCTCATGCTTTTACAGCAGCTGTGGTGTGAGAGGCGGTCTCTTGGGGCGACTCCTCCTCAGTGATTGGACTCTAGGGTCCAAAAATAAGACGTGCCAAATTAAATCAAAATGAGACAATCTAAACAAATATATAACAAACAGTGAGACTGAAATGATATTTTAAAACTCCCAACTAAAAAGGAGAAAAGGTTCAGATAGTTTTACTGGTAAATTTTATCAGACCTTCAAAGAATACCAATGCTTCTTTTCAGGCGGTGGTGGCACACAACGTTAATCCCAGCACTGAGGAGGCAGAGGCAGGTGGATCTCTGAGGTCAAGGCCAGCCTGTCTATAGAGTAAGTTCCAGGACAGCCTGGAAACTCTACACAGAGAAATTCTGTCTCGAAAAACAAAAACCACAACTTAATGAGGCTTATGATGGTTGAAAGCTTTCTGCTCTTGCATCAGATTAGAATTCAGTTCCCAGAGCCCACATAAAGAGGCTTACAACTACCTATAACTCCAGTTCTAGGGAATCCAACGTCCTCTTCTGTCGTCGTTCCCCCCCCCCTCTGTGTCTCACACATGCACACAAATCTTTTGTAAAAATTTAAGAATTTAAGTAATGTCAAGCCGGGCAGTGGTGGCGCACGCCTTTAATCCCAGCACTCGGGAGGCAGAGGCAGGTAGATCTCTGTGAGTTCGAGACCAGGCTGGTCTACAAGAGCTAGTTCCAGGACAGGCTCCAAAGCCACAGAGAAACCCTGTCTCAAAAAACCAAAAAAAAAAAAAAAATTTAAGTAATGTCAATGAAATAACAACCTCTCCTGTTTTGAGGGGATAAAGATGTTCTTAGAAACCATGATTATTAAATAAAAGTTCCAGTGTCAGGGATAGGCTACATCCTGAAAAGTTGTTCATCAGGGAGGATCCTGAAACCTACAAAATAGTACAACTTATTGCTAGTGGTAGCTGCCCACTAGAACTAGATGGCAAACCCTTATTGTCGAAGACATCACTAGCTTTGGGCACAAGATACAGAAAAAAATCAAGCCAGACTGGGCTGGAAAGCTTCATCCCTGCTAGGAAGCCTTCACACTACCAGAAGGAGCCAGGTAGGGCTACCAGGAGAGAACTGTCATCCTCAGTCTTACTCAGTGGTGGACCCTGTGTGCAATATTACCAACTGGCCAGGCAAACTGAGACCACCACTGCAACACTGGCAAGTCTGTTACGAGGCTTCCTTTTTATAATTATTTTCTCAAGAACTGTGTTATGGAACCAACTTTAGACTGGAGTTAATGCCACTTACATCTGGTACTTTAAAATAGGTCAAAGCCTGTGGCTGGCTATGAAGGTGATAAACCTTAATGGGGAAGATACTCTTGTAGTTTTGCTAAATGGATATGATATGCCAATCTACCCTCTAAACAACTATGTTTGTGCCTACAGTTTAGGGCTCCTGTCAGCTCTAGCCAGAGAAGCTTCTTTTATTTTTTTTCCATGGTCAGCCAGGTATAGTAGCATTCATCTGTAATCCCATCACTTAGGAGATGGGAAACAGGAGGATCAGAAGCTCTAGGCCATCCTTGGCAACCATAGGTCAGTCAGTCTGGGATACAGGAGACTAATCTCATAAGAAGTTAGCCTCCAGTTTTCTTACATACTGGAGTCACTCCATGCCCCCTCATGCCACCAGCAAAGTAAAAATAGCTCAGCACCACAAAAATGTCCCCAATGGTCCAGATGTGGAGCATTATCAACAACAACAACAAGGTACTAAACAAAGTATGCAGGAGGCTTACATTAAGAAGCCAAAACAAGAGGGTCAAGGATGACCTCACTGAAATATAGACCAGAAAACTAAAAAGCTATTCATTTGTGGAAAGTAAGAAGTTCTGAGGAACAAGGTTCATAAAGGTCTGAGCAGACAAGAAAAACATTTAGACAGTAACTTTTAAATCACAAACTGAAAAGAAGAGTGCAATGTCTAACAGTTTTACCTATAAAAGGTATTAGACTTATCTTTAAACTTTATCACACGGATCCTAAGCAAATCAAGGCCAAAGTAGCTAGGAGAAGCCCTGAAAGAGCTGCAGCAATATCTCCTGTCTCACAGGACACGCCCCCGCGCCAAGGACAGAGAATGGTGAAGTGACACTGACCAGGTAGAGCTCTGCCAGTATCTGTGCCCCTGTGGGAGCAGCCCTGGGAAGGCAATCCCAGCAGCACTTCCCGATGGCTTCTACAATGAGTTGAGAAAAACTGTGTGTATGTGTGTGTGTGTGTGTGTGTGTGTGTGTGTGTGTGTGTGTGTGTGAAAGAGCCATCCTTTTCTGTTTTTTCCTTTTCTGATTCTTTGTTTTTTAGCAGTGACAATTAGGGCTGAGTGATCTACTATCTTCCTAATGTACTGTGCCATGGGAAAGCTAAATATGAGCTAAAATCAACTTCGAACATTATTTTATTAGCATTACATCACAATCCAATTAAACAACTGGTAGAGAAACTTGGACAACTGAAAATCTTAGAACAAAGAACAAATTAGTCATCAACCTTATGTATCTTTGATATTAATACCAATGTACCATATTAAAGACAGAGATAATGAGACATTATCAACACATTCAGGGGTTTGCATGACTATTAGATTGAAGTTAGAAAAAAATGATTTTTCATTATAGAAAAAATATAGGTACTTGAGTAGTAGTAAGATGAACTTCAAATATGATAAGCTATGCTCTGAAACTAAAGTTAATGAGAACACACAAAGCCTTACTTAGCATTTTTAATCCATCCTGCAGTATGATTTGAAGATAGCTTCCATGATGAGATTCAAGAATGTTTAACATACAAAGGCAAATGAAGAAATGTCTCAGAGGTATTTTATGATTGGTTCAAAAGAAGATTCAAATGTTACCATAGCAGATTTAGGATAACACTTTCTAAAGTAGTGGGGTGACTCTAATTATCTATCTCTCATCCTTACCATGAAGAGGAATTAACCCCAAGCCCCAATTACTCTTAACAATCGCATATTTCTATTACATAACAAAGCTTTCAACACAAACATACTCAGCATGTTTATACCTCACTGACACCAGAGCAGTCCATTAGTGTAGTGAACGTAACAAGGGAAGATTAGAGCAATTAAGAAGCGTCATACAAAACTTCACTGCATGTCATTCGACAAGCTTACCTTGCAGTTTCTTTAACACGGCAACCTCCATCTTCAGGACTTGCTTTGGCTGCTGAGCTGACTCCACCTTCAGTGCCACATTTTCCCTGGTGAGCATGTCCAAGGCATCGTAAATTTCTCCAAAGCCCCCACCCCCAATCTTTCTTAACTGTGCAGAAAACAAAACAAGAACACATTCAAAATATGCAAAGATTCTAATTGGAAGCCAACTCACGTTTACACTTAGAAAACATGTAATTTTACTAGTCCTATTTTATAATAAATGATTTCAATATTGTTAAATTATTTATACAGCAAGAGGAAAACAATTGCCCGGAGATAATATCAACAACATTTCCTAGATTTGTCTACAGAAATAATTACATTATTTCAGTTATAAACAATTATTAAAGGTTTACAGCTAGCATCGAAATTGTCAAAAAAAAAAAACCCACAGTATCCAAAAGAATCAACTCCTATAAATACCATTCAATAGCCATATTAGTCAAATCTAATTTCATTTGCAGACTTTTTAATCAATGAAATCTTTTTGCCATTTAAAATCTTATACAGAACCAATCTGGTCTATAGGTAAGGAGGGAGGCTGAAGAATGGGATGAGCAGCTAGCATCCAGTTCATTCTCCTCTCTGAGGCAGGACTAACAGGATCCACACAACAAGCAAAGAGCAGTTCTACACGATCTCAGAGAGCAAACACTACTATACATCTACACTTCAAATAATAAGCTGTAATCAACTTAATTGCTTTCATCAAACACTTTAAATGCTAACTTAATTGGAGAACATCAGAATATTTGAGTATCATAAACAGGTTCTGAAAGCTAGTCACAATTAGACCTGTAAAGGGCTCTGAAAATCTGGGGTGGGTGATATACTTTACGCAAGATGCAGCAATAAACCAGGTCTCCACTTCCTGAAGCCATTTCTTCTTATAATATAAGCAAACATTTGGAACGTAACGCAAGGTAATGTAGGGAGTCATTACTAAACACATGAGGCCCAAAATCCTAAAGCTTCCAAAAAGCCCATGCTCTTGTCATGCCCTGCTTACTCTCCACTGGCATTCTCACTGATGCCCTTATCTATGCTCTAGTCCTCCTTCCCTTTCTTCTTGTGGTGCACATCAGGTGCATAGCCTGGTCTCAATTACACACCCAGCCCCTTAGGCCAATTTATCATCTGAATTTCTATGAAAATTATTTGTTTACTTTTTCAATTAACAATTTTATCAGGCCATACCTTAGCTTATCACTGACTTTTAAGTTTGTAGAGTAACTTTCTATTGTTCAGAGACAAAGTCTCTATTCTGCAGCCCTGGCTGTTCTGGAACTTACTATGTAGATCAGACTGGCCAAAAAGGCATCCCACACGATGCTGGGTAAACTGGGTTTTCATCCAGGTTGGCCTCCAATAGTGATCTTGAACTCTTGATATTCCTGCCTGCACCACCCGTGTGCTAGGATTACGGAAGAGCACACCAAATCCAATTTCGTGTTGCTTAACTTCCCACAGCTGCTGTCCTGTCTCACTCGACAGAAGTAGGCTTCTTCAAGGAGAGGTCACTTAACCTTCTTCTTTATACAGTGCTTAACAAAGTCCAAACTATATAATTACAGCTTATTTACAAAGGTTGTTTTGTGTGTTTAAGCCGTAGTCATTTTAAATTTGTTTGGTGATAAGAAGGAGTAAGTTAAGGAACTACAGGGTGAGCATGGGATAGACCAGGTGCCAGATCTATGCAGTGAAGTGTGCTGCTCTTTGTAGGGCTCTAGCTGGTACTTGTGATTCTTTGTATGTTGTCCACTAAATAAAACCTAATGTAAGTTTAAAAACTAAAACCAGGCAGTGGTGGTTCACGCCTCTAATCCCAGCACCCCAGAAGCAGAGGCAAGCAGATCTCTGCGAGTTCAAGGCCAGCCTGGTCTACAGAGAGAGAGAGTTCCAGGACAGCCAGGGATACACAGAGAAACCCTGTCTCAAAAAACAAAACAAAACAAAAACTTAGCTGCTCTGAAAGAGAAAGCTGGGAGGGTACCTTAGCCTAGGTATTCAGGGACAAGCAGAACAACATAAGACTCTGCTTCAAAGCAAACAAACAAACAAAACATAGTAAGTACTAAGGGTATGTCTTTATTATTTTGATTGATGGCTTATTATTTGATACACAAAATAATTTCAAATAAATGACAGAATTTTTTTTTAAATCTATATTGGGTCCTTAGTAGAACAGTAATTTGTTTAACTTTGACAAAACCTTATAATATCTTCATTAGTTCTGAGGTAAAAACAAAGTCACAAGTAATATAGTATGCTAAAGGCACATACATTAAATATATCCACTACATTCTCTCTCATCCTTCTGTTTTTAAAAAAGATTTATTTATTTTTATTTATTTATTATGTATATATACAGTATGCCTGCATGTATGCTTGCATACTGGAAGAGGGCACCAGATCTCATTACAGATGGTTGTGAGCTATCATGTGGTTGCTAGGAACTCAGGACCTCTGGAAGAGCAACCAGTGCTCTTAACCACTGAGCCATCTGTTCAGCACCCATCCTCCTCTTCTTTAATGTTAGGTACAGAAGACTTTCATATTGAACAAGGAATTGTGACCCTGACACTCCCCTGTGAAAAGTTAGGGTCTGGTAATATAATTCAGTGGTAGAGGGTTTCTTGTCTAGGTATATATACAAAGCACTGTGTTCAATCTCCAGCACTGGCAAAAATTAAAAATAAAATTAAAGCTATAGGGTCTGTTTTCCCACCTTCTTAAATGTATGTAGCTCTTATGACCAATTAACCAACAGAAAAGAACAATGACAATATGTCTGCTCTGAAGAGAAACCTTAAGCAGCCTGGTAGATTCTATATCTTGTCTCTAAAAAAGCAAACCAAATATAGAAAGTGTGGTTATCTTCAGAAGTCATAGGCACAGGAGATTCCAAACAAAATGAGCTACCAAAGTGGGAGAATGAGAGGGCTAACAAGCCCAAGACATCAGGTCAGGGAGTAAAGAAGCCATACAGAAATAGAGTCTCTGGCACAACCAGAGCTAATGGCCAAAGCCACCCAGGTAAACTTGTCCCTAGTGTGTGTGTATGTGTGTGTGTGTGTGTGTGTGTGTGTGTGTGTGTGTGTGTACACTCATGCAAGTGAAAGTGTATACAGGTTAATAAGCTTGTGATTTTTGAGACAGGGTCTCTCACTGGGGACAGGGTTCACCGGTCAGGCTAGGTTGACAGGCCAATGAGCCCCACGGTGGCCTCCTGCCTCTGCCTCTACCTCTCAAGCACCACAGCACCCAGCAGGTCCTCATTTGTGAGAAAAGTACTTTAGCAGCTGTAAATTTTCCCAGTCCAGTTTTTTTTGTATGGATGCTGAAGATCACTCAGGGCCCTTAATTGTGTGGCAAGCACTTTACTGAATGAGCTTTCTCTTAAACCCTCATTCCTAATTGCTAATCTATAAAACTATAGGCAAAATAACTATAGGCAAAATAATGATTAACCTATGACTTTGGATATTAACACACCATGCGTGTGTGTGTGTGCACATAGATGCCATCCTTAACAATTACGAATTCTAGCAGGGCAGTCATTCCAGCACTCAGGAGGCAGAGGCCAGCTGATTTCTGAGTTTGAAGATAGCCTGGTCTACAGGACTGTTCTGAGTTCCAGGACAGTCACAGCTACACAGTGAAACCCTGTTTTGAAAAAAACAAACAAAACAAAACAAAATAAAAACAATTTAAGAATCCTTACAAAATGCCATCCTCCTCCCAAATGTGGGGGACAAGTTCCACAACCCGTCTGCCACCGAAGGCAGATCTTGTTTGGTATCCTCACCACAGAAGGTAGATCCTGGTTAGAATTCCTCACCGCTTTCTCCCTCTTTTCAAGATGCCAGGGGTTGAACCCAGAATCTTACAAATGCTAAACAGTCTACCACAGGACAATTTTTTCTTTAAAAATTTATTTTGTGGGGCTGGAGAAATGGCTCAGTGGTTAAGAGCATTGCCTGCTCTTCCAAAGGTCCTGAGTTCAATTCCCAGCAACCACATGGTGGCTCACAACCACCTGTAATGAGGTCTGGTGCCCTCTTCTGGCCTGTAGGCATACATACAGATAGAATATTGTATATATAATAAATAAATAAATAAATATTTTGAACAAATTTATTTTGTGTGTATGTGTGCATGCAGTAGCCATGAAAAATTTAGGGGTCAGAGGAAAACCTGGAGAAGTTATCTCTGTTCTGTCTCTTTTCTCTCCTTCACTGTCTGGGCATCAGGAATAGAACTCAGGATTTCAGGCTTGACAGCACATACCCTTAACCACTGAACTATCTGTCAGAAGTCTGAGTTATATTTCTTTCTTTTTTTTTTTTTAAGTACCTGGAGGGACAGCCGTGGATGCTGGGAAGTGAACTCATATTTTTGGTGGTGAGCCTAGCCTTTAATGGCTGAGTCATCCCACCAGGCCCTGAGCTACATTTCTAATCTTTGTGTTTGGTTTTTAAAGAAAGGATCTCACTATGTATCTCAGGCTGGTCCTTTTGTTTGTTTTCTGAGACAGAGTCTCTCTACATAGCCCTGGCTGTCCCAGAGCTCCCTATATAAACCAGGCTGGCCTCTAACGCACTGAGATCCTCCTGCCTCTGCCTCCCCAATGCTGGGAATTAAAGGCGTGCACCACTACACCTGGCTGAGGCTGGTCTTGAACTCACAATACTCCTTCCTCAGGCTCCTGAGTGCTGATACTGCTTGCCTGTGTCACCTCACCATGCTGTAACCTTATTTTATTGAAGAATAATCAATACTTATCGTAGTACTTTTTTTTTTTTTTTTGAGACAGGGTTTTTCTGTGTCTCTGTGTAACAGTCCTGGCTGTTCTGGAACTCATTCTGTAAAACTAGGCTGGCCTCAAACTCACAGAGATTGTCTGCAGTGGTGCGGGAGAACTGTCTGTATTCTGTCAATCATGTTTTAAATAAATGTTGATTGGCCAGACAGGAAGTATAGGTGGGTCAACCAGAAGGAAGTAGAGGCAGGGCAATGAGAACAGGAGAATTCTGGGAAGAAGGAAGCTCGTCCTCGCAGTCTAGCCCAGACCACCGAAGAAGCAAGATGTGACCTGTCCCGCTAAGAAAGGTACCAAACCATGTGGCTAACATAGATAAGAATAATGGGTTAATATAATCTACAAGCGCTAATAAGTAGCCTGAGCTAATGGGCCAATGAGTTTATAATCTAATGTAGACTCTGTGTGATTTTCTCTGGGCAGACAAAAACCTGGGCAAGCCCGACCCTCATGTTACAAAATGGCGCCCAAAGCAAACCCTAATGTTATACCTCCGGCTCCTGAGTGCTGGGATTAAAGGTGTGCGCCACCATGCTTGATTGTAATAAAAACATTTAAAGCCACTGAAAAACTTTTTTTTCCTTAAAGAGTCTCTATCCTATTAGTAGATTTAGAGAAATGCTAAAACAATTAAACCTGTTAGTCTAAGAAAACTTTAGTTGACAAAACACTGATTAACATTAAAGATAATTATTTTTAAAAAGTCCTTAATTAAGTTGTCAGAGGATGTATTCCAGTTCTAGGACAAGAAAGTCATTAAAAGACTGTTGGGGAGAGGCAGGGTATATATCTCAGTGAAGGAGGGCTTGCCTAGCCAGTGGGAGGCCTAGGGCCCCCCCAGCACTGGAGGACTGCTAGGAGCTGGCACACACCTAGAACTCCAGTATTTGGAAGGCTGCTGCTGAGACAGCAGGACTCAGCTGAAAGCCAGCTGGGCTACACAGTGAGATCTTATTTCAAAACACCAAACATTGACATAAAACAAACTAAAGGCCTATTAGAACCTATGGTGGTTTGAATAAGAATGGCCCCCAAAGGTTCATATATTTAAATGCTTGATTTCTAGTTGGTGGGAATGTCTGGGAAACATTAGGATATACGGCCTTGTTGGAGGAGGGGTCCCACAGGCACAGGCTTCAAGGCTTCAAAAAGATCCCATCATTCCCAGTGTACACTCTTTGTCTCCTGCTTGTCAGTCTTGAGCGCTTGGTTTTTGGAATGGTAATGTATATTCTGTGCCACTGCATTTTCTAAGTATGTAATTTGCTTTTTGATTTTATAAGATGTTAAGAGATTGCCTTGAGTCTCAGAAGAGATTTGGACTTCAGACTTTAAAATGGTATTGAGGCTATAAGAGAGTATGGGGACTTTTGAATTTGAACTAAAAGCATTTAGTTCAAATTCAAATGTGATAGTCTGAATGAGAATACTCCCCATAGGTTCACAAGTTTGAATATCTGGTCTCTCTCTAGTTGGTGGAACTGTTTGAGAAGGATTTAGAGGTTTGGCCTTGTTGAAGGAGGTGGGGTATTTTAAGGTTTCAAAAGGCTCAATACACTCTTAGTGTGCTTCTCGCTGCCTGCCTGTGTATCACACCAAGATGTGGGATCTCAGCTGTCCTTGACACCACATTCTGTTGTGTCATCATGATCTCTAACCTTCTGAAACAGTAAGCCCAATTAAATGATTTCTTTTATAAGTTGCCTTGGTCATGGTGATTTATTTATCATACCAATAGAAGAGCAACTAAGACAGAACTCTGGAGGCTTCTTAATGGGTATCCCCTTAATCAGATGAAGACAATCTAAAAATCTCTAAGGATAATAACTACAATGGACTAAAACATATCACAATTTTTTATTAGTATGTCTGTGTGTGTCCAAGGTACACATGTGTTAGTCAAAAGACAACTTCCAGGAGTCAATTCTCTCCTTCCACCATGTGGGAATCCTAGAACAGACCTCAGGTCGTCAAGCTTGGAGGCAAGTGCTTTTATTGACTGACTCATTTTGCTTCATTTACGTTTAGATGTTTATATTTTATTTGTATGGTGTTTTGTTTGCATGAATGTATATGTACCATGTGAGCATCAGAAGATGGCAGATGGCATCAGATCCTCTGGAACTGGAGTTACAGACACTTGTTAGTCACTATGTGGGTGCTGGGAACTGAACCTGGGTCCTCTGCTAGAGCAGCAAGAGCTGTTGCCCACTGAATCATCCCTCCAGCACCTGCTCCCTTCTGTGAGACAGTTTCACACTGTGACCCAGGCTGACCTGGGACCTACCAACAGTTCAGGATAGCTTCAAATTCAGTCTCCTCAGTACTGGGACTACAGTACTGGGACTACTTTGAACTAAATTCACACTTTTCCTTCTCTTTTTCTTCACTCTCTCTTTCTCTGTCTCTTTTCTCCCTCACCAACCTTTCCTCTACCCTTTTCCTTTCCAAAAGGTGCCTAACCACCCTGGTCTCTAAGTCTATGTAACAGAATCAATCATCTTGAATTTGATCCTGCTACTATCATAAAAAAAAGTAAAAACTTTTATAAGTGAATAATTTTGAAAAATAAGTCCTTATCTGATGGAGGAAGGTCATTGGTCAAATAAAGAAACTGCCTTGGCCCTGATTGGTTAGAACATAGGTGGGTGGAGTAAACAGAACAAAATGCTGGGAGGAAGAGGCAGTGAGCTCAGAAGTCATGCAGCTCTTCTCAGGGCAGACATGCAGCCAGCCACCAGGTCAGACATGCTGAATCTTTCCTGGTAAGCGCACCTTGTGGTGCTACATAGATTATTAGAAATGGATTAAGAGGTTGAAACTAATGGGCCAGGCAGTGTTTAAAAGAATACAGTGTCCGTGTAATTATTTCGGGGCATAAGATAGCCAGGCGGCCGGGGTGCTGGGGACGCAGCCCCGCCACTCCTATCACAACACTTATCTTTCTTTATAGATACACACTGATGTAAGAACTATTCAAAATACTCTAGGAGAAGAAACAAGATTATATATCCTAACCACAAACTAAGTGTAGGCTAAGCACACAGCAATTTATCATATGTCTGTTTTTGTGTGCACTTAGAAGTTTTCTCTTTTCTTCTTTTCTTCCTCCTTCCCTCCTTGTTTCCTTTCTTTTTAAAGACCGGGTTTCTCAGTGTAGTTCTGGTTGGCCTGGAACTCACTCTGTAGACGACCATGCTGGCCTGGAACTCACAGAGATCCATCTGTCTGAGATTAAAGGTAAGTGCTACCACAACCAAACTAGAAGTTTTCTTAATAGTGTTGTAGAAGAAAAAGTGCAGTTTACTGCACTTTCAAATTTTTTAATTTGTTCTTTCCTTAAGCACTTTAATTTATAATATTAGCTACAGAAAGTTAGAAAAATTTAGAACTTATGAAGCAAACTTAAGAATTAGAGCATAACCAAAACTTACTCATATGAATAAAAGTCAAGCCGGGCAGTGGTGGCTCACACCTTTAATCCCAGCACTCAGGAGGCAGAGGCAGGCGGGTCTCTGAATTTGAGGCAAACCTGGTCTACCAAGTGAGTTCCAGGGCAGCCAGGGCTGTTACACACAAGAGAAACCCTGTTTCAAGAAAACAAAAAAATGAATAAAAATTAAAATACCTGTTTTAGGTGAATAAAAAACATAGGTATTAGTCCTTTAGAAATGTTACGTCTATCAGCATACCAAAACATACCACCCCATATGCTTGCCCCCTTCACCCCCCACTTTCCTGTCTCCATTCTATACTCACCACTTTCCATCGTTCTTTGACCAAGATTCCAACACTGAGGATGTCTGGCTGCTCTCCTCCCCCACTCATTGCAAAACACTGATGTGGTATAACAGCTACACAGGCATCTAGCTCCCAAGGGTGGTTTCCATTTAATCTAAAACAAAAGAAAAAAAAAGTAGCAGCAGAGCTAATTAACACACAAATAACATTCTCATCTCAAGATTCCTCAGAAGGTTAGGGGATCCCTATATCTACATTCCAAAACCTGTGTAACATACATGATCTTTCCAGTACAGTGGACCAGCCATCACAAAGACACAGTACACATAGTTACATAACTGAAGGAGCATGATGGTCAGTGCCCGTTGACCCAGACAGACCAGTACCCTAAGTGTTACGGGAGGTCCTTCCACTCCTCTAACCAATAGCTGCTGAGATACCAGCCCATTGGGGCGTGGTCTCTCTCCCTTTAAAAAAGCGGCTACTTCCCTCCGCTCTTCTCTTCACTTCCTGCTCCACTGGCGACTAGACTCCCTTCCTGGTTGCGCAGAGGGCTGTTGTCTGGGACGATGATCTGTAAGTTTTTTCCCTTTAAATAAATACCACCCTATTAATCATAATTCCAAACTGGTGTGGCATTGTTTGTGACCTACGCCTTCACCCTGAGTACACACACTGCCAGAGAAAAAGACAAGGCAGCCATTTACCACACTTTACAGTTTCAAACCTAGGGCCCTGTGCATGTTAAACAAGGCCTTACCACTAAGCTATATCCTTAGCCTTCTTTTTACTTTTTTTGAGACAGGGTCTCAAATTGTTCAGACTTGTCTTGAACTCACTCTGTAACCCAAGATGGCATGGAACTTGTGGTTCTCCTGCTCAGCCTCAACTGTATCACAGGCATATGCTACCAGACTTGGCAATAGCTTGCAGTTTAACAGATTTAGAATACAATTTAATATCATCAGAGCTAATTAACATTTAATATTTTATTACATTCATTTATTTTACACTCGTGTGTGTGTGTTGATACATGTTCAAGTGAAGTTGATAACTTGTAATAGTGACTTCTGTTCTTTTACCATGTGGGTTCTGGTGACTGAACTCAAATTGTCAGGACTGGCAGTTAGCATCTTTACCTGCTAAGAAATCTCACCGAGATCTAAACTTGAAGATGCACTTCAAATGCATAGAGATTCATTATGTAGGCAAAAAGGCCGTGACAAAATGCTATCATGATACTGTTTTTTAAAAGAAAAACAGTAAAAGAATAGTATACCTATAGGAAATAAAAGAGCATACTTACTCCATGAATAAGAGAGAAAAATATTAGAGTGACTTTTTAATGTGTTGCAGGCGTGGAGGCCAGAAAACAACCTTGGATGTCATCCTCAGAGTGCTGGCTAGTTTTTTGTCAACCTGACACAAGATAGAGTCATCGAAAAGGAAGAAGCCTCAGTTGAGAAAATGCCTCCATAAGACCCAGTTAGTTGTAGGCAAGCTTATAGGCATTTTCTTATTCAGTGATTGATGGGGGAGGGCCCAGACCATTGTGGGTAGTGCTATCCCTTGGCTGGTGGTCCTGGCTAAGAAAGCAGGCTGAGCAAAGCAATGAGGAGCAAGAGGTAAGCAACACTCCTCCATGTCCTCTGTACCAACCCCTAGCTCTAGATTCCTGCCCTGCTTGAGTTGCTGCCTGACTTCCTTTGGTAATGAACAGTGATGTGGAAGCATAAACTAAAGAGCCACCGTGACCATGGCTGTGGTCACGGTGTTTCATCACAGCAACAGTAACCCTAACTAAGACACTCAGGAACATTACCTTTGAGACAGTCTTCCACTGGCCTGGAACTCACTGATTAGGCTAGACTAGCTGGCCAGCAAGCCCCATTCTTGTTTCTGACTCCCCAGTGGTGGGGACACAAGGAAAGAACCATACGCCCAGCATTTTTATGTGGGGTCTGGTTATCAAACAAAGGATCTGTTTAAGAGGCAGTACTTTACCAGTTGAAATGTCTTCCTAATTCAAATACTGTTAACAGAAAGATTAGATAAAGAAACAAGTTTATAGTGTGCTGCCTTCTGTGTAAAAGGGAGGCAAATGTTGAGTAGATTAAACTAATTGCTTTTATTTAAAAGAGAAAAAGAAAATGGAAGTTAAGTCCAAAAGCAATGAAATGATTCTTCATAACTGTAGTGCCGGAAAGCAGACATATACTGTCAGTCACTCAACTCTGCCCAGACAACACCAAAGACAACCCTCAGCTACATATCAAGTGCAAGGCTAATGGCTACATGAGGATCTGTCCAGACTCTGAAAGACAGTTTCTCTCATATGTGGTTTGATTTTTATTTATTTGTTTGTTTAGTGTGTGTGCGTGTGTTTTCATTTCCTAGCACCCAAATGGCAGCTAATAATCATCTGTAATTCCAGCTCCAGGGAATCTGATGCCTTCTTCTGGCCTCAAAAAGAAAAGTAAAGCTGGGCAGTAGGGGCGCACATCTTTAATCCCAGTACTTGAAAGGCGGGCGGATCTCTGTGAGTTCAAGGCCAGCCTGGTTTACAGAGCAAGTTGCAGGACAGGCTCAAAGCTACAGAGAAACCCTGTCTTGAAAAACAAACAAACAAGAAAAAGAAAGTAAAAAGAACTTGGAGGTAATGAAGACCTTACAGGTTTTCCAAAAGACATCTGGTCAAAAACAATAATCGACTTGATCTTTGGGCCAGCAAGATGACTTTGTAGTTACAGCCAGGCCCAATGACTTGAGCTGGATTGCCAGGACCGAGTGGTAGAAGGAGAAAACCGACTCCTGCCAGTTGTCCTCTGACTACACACACGGGCAGCAGCACATGTGCACATCCCACTAATAAATCAATGTAACTGAAAAAAAACGTAACATCCATTTCTAGCAATCCCCTCTCAGGATTCCTAAGTATAAGCAATACCAACCTATTTCCTACTTCTCTTCTTAGCCAAGAGTGAGTCTCTTTCAATAGGCACTTGATCTTACTGGTTTTACAATTCTGAGAGAGGGAAAAAGATCCAGTTTGAGGTAAAAAGTTAATTAACAAATATACTTAACATTGAATTGTTTACTTCAAAATGCTTAAGGCAAATATGTATACTTTACCATAACAAAAAGTAAAGTTTAACTAGAGAATGGTGGTACACACCCATAATCCCTGAACTTGGAAGGCAGAGGCCTACACCTATATAATGAGTTCGAGGACAACCTCTATATATAAAAAAAGTCCACAAATTTACATTTTAAATGAGATTATTAGATAATACTATAGAGAACAATTTCTATTATCTCATGGAATAAAATGGTATTGCCAGCAGAGTTCTTCAGAACTTGGAAATTACTAATTATTTAAATTAATCTAAGAATACCCACTTACAAAAAAGCAGAAAACCTAGAATCCTTAAATGATAACCAAACCAAATGAAGCAGCTTTTTTGCTTGGGTTTTTTTTGTTTGTTTGTTTTTTCGAGACAGGGTTTCACCGTCTAGTCCGTCCTGTCCTGGATCTCACTCTGTAGATCAGGCTGTCCTCAAACGCACAGAGATCTGCCTGTCTCACCTCCGTGTGCTGGAATTAAAGGTGTGTGCCACCATGTTCTGGCCGTGAAGAGACTTCTAAAATAGCTCCCAATTATCTCTACCTCCTGCCTTTGATCACTTCCCTCCCTTGGGGGCTTGGCTGGATCTAGTTTCTAGCCTCTAATTAAACTGAAATCTCAAGGTCCAAATCAGGAGCAGAAGGAGAGAGAGTACGAGCAAGGAACTCAGGACCGCGAGGAGTGCACCCACACACTGAGACAATGGGGATGTTCTATCGGGAACTCACCAAGGCCAGCTGGCCTGGGTCTGAAAAAGCATGGGATAAAACCGGACTTGCTGAACATAGTGGACAATGAGGACTACTGAGAACTCAAGAACAATGGCAATGGGTTTTTGATCCTATTGCATGTACTGGCTTTGTGGGAGCCTACGCAGTTTGGATGCTCACCTTACTAGACCTGGATGGAGGTGGGTGGTCCTCGGACTTCCCACAGGTCAGGGAACCTTGATTGCTCTTTGGGCTGATGAGGAGGGGGACTTGATAGGGGAGGGGGAGGGAAATGGGAGGCAGTGGTGGGGAAAAGACAGAAATCTTTAATAAATAAATAAATAAATAAAAAAGAACGTAGCCAAAGTGAGGAAAGAGAATTCCTCGCTGCCTCTCCCTGTTTGCTTGCTGCCATGCAGCATCCGCCTATAACTCCATGGGACGGACCACCTGGCAGAGAATGAAAGCAGCTTCTGTAAAAAGCAGGTATCACTACTAGCAAGGAACTGTCGTAAGTTTAACAAGTCACAAGAAACAGAGCCTTCTATCAGCCATCAGAACAAATTTGGATCCTTCCCCTGCCTTATCCCATGATGGTTGCAGCCTACCCTGACTACCTCACATAACACATTCTGAATGTGTTCCCACTTGGATTAGACTCAAAATGGTGACCACAGACACTGTGAGATAAATGTTTTGTTTGGTTTTGGTTTTTCGAGACAAATGGGTTGGTGTTTTTGTTTGTTTGTTTTTTATTTTTTTAAGACAGGTTTTCTCTGTAGCTTTGAAGCATGTCCTAGAACTAGTTCCTGTAGACCAGGCTGGCCTCGAACTCACAGAGACCCACCAGTCTCTGCCTCCTGGGATTAAAGGTGTGTGTCATCACTGCCTGGCTGAGATAAATGTTTTGAAACACCAAATCCTGAAATGAGCACTATAACACACATCCAATGGCTGAGACAGGAGGACCTTGAAGGCCAACTTGGAATACAAAGTCAGACTATCTCCAGCAATCGGTGACAATCTGCCAGACTTCAATTATGTATTTCTCAGAATGCATGATTACAGGTTCCTTTTCAATTCTACATCACAAATAGCTGAAAAACTATATAGCATGGCTATAAAACCAATGGTCAATAACTATGTAAGACTAACACCATGAAGACAAGTCAGAGCAATAGCACTATTTTCAAGAGAATTATTGAATAAATTCCTTTCTGGAAAAGTCTCTTGTTTGGTTTTTTGTGAAACAAGGTCTCTCTACATAGTCCTGGAACTCACTATACAACCCAGGTCGTCCAGGTATTGGTTTTTTTTTTTTTTTTTTTTTTTGAGACAACGTCTCTCTACATAGTCCTGGAACTCACTATACAACCCAGGTCGTCCAGGTACTCACAGAGACCCACCAGTCTGCCTCCTGAGTGCTGGGGTCAAAGGCGTGCACCACCACCTCCAGCTCTGGCAGTCTTAATGACCTAAAATAGTGAGCAAATCTTATGGTAATAAATTCTGACAGTAACGCTAAATCTGGACATGTTGACAAAACAGACCCAAAGAGGATCAAAATATGGACAGAACATGCTAAATGAAGATCAACTTGTAAAAGAAAATGTGGTTTAAAAATCTTTTGAAACATTTGCTAGATAGCAAATGATTAAGGGCAACAGCAAATTAATACGTAAATACCGACAGTATCCATCCTAGACTGCAAAGTTCTTTCAGATGAAGGTCACATCACAGACCTCTCATCTTCTCAATAACCAAATCATGAACCTGCAGTGAAATCATAGGCACTTGGAGCTCAAAGTAAGACCTGCACGTGATTCTAGTCACACAGGTTCACCTATGTTACCTAAGAACAAGTAAAACAAAGAGGTGCAAAGGGGAAACATTCAGAAAAAAAAACTAAGAATGTAAACAATCACCTGTTAATCCCAGTGTTGGGAGGGACATACAGATAATACCTGGAGCTCACTGGCCAGTCAACCTGGTCCACCAATGAGCGTCTCAGAACAAAGTGGAAGCTGGTGAACGTACAGAGTAAGAGATTTGAGTCTTCGGCACTAAATGGCATGTTCATATTATACCTCTCCCCTCAAGATCTAAGGATCTTCATGGAAGGGGGCAGAAACTGTAGGAGCCAGAGGCGATGGTATCTTCAAGGAAACTTTTTCTAGACAAAACAGGACAGTTGCACATATGAACTCAGAGATTTTGACAGCATGTGCAAGACCTGTGTAAGCTAACACCAGACAAAATTCAGCCTGGAGGGGTACAGGAAGTCCCATCCAAGCTGAGACGCTGTTGAAATCCGATGGCTTCTAGGAGAGGGAGAGTCAGTCAGTTTTCTTTAATGGTAGGACCCCTGATAAATCAACCACCTCCAGAGCAGGCCCCAACACCAAGAGCAGTCAGCCAACAAAAACTGAACTCTGCAGATTTGAGAGAGAGAAATTGGGAGCAGGGAGAGAAAGGAAGGGAGGGAGAGAAAGAGAGAACATGAAGTTGGGTGGGTAGGTAGGTGGGAGAAATTGGGTGATATGATTAATATGATCAAAATATATTAAATTCTCAAAACTTAATAAGAACGTTACTTTAAAATACTAAGGTTGGGCCAAGCAGTGGTGGCGTACACCTTTAATCCCAGCACTCGGGAAGCAGGGGCAGGTGGATCTCTGTGAGTTAGAGACAAGCCTGATCTACAGAGCAAGTTCTAAGAAAGGCTCCAAAGCTACACAAAGAAACCCTGTCTCAGAAACAAAAACAAATACAAAACAAAAACCCACACAAACCCAAAAATACTAAGGTAGGAAACAATATAAGACGACACTCAATGATGGCTTCCATACCCACACACATATACACGTATGTATACATGCATGAATACATGCACACACCCAAACAGACACATACATACTACACATATACAATCAAAAGAAAGGAGGAAGAGGGAGGGGAGAGGGAAGAGGGGAGGAGAAGGAAAAAGAAGAAACAAAGTATAAATCAAGGTCAGTGATACAGCTCATTTTCCCAGAATATATAAAGCCCTCAGATTGATCCACAGCACCACAAAAACACAAATTAAACCAAATAAAATGATGAAGAGTGTTGTGGTTTGAATGTGAAATGTCATCACAGATTCATGTCTCTTGGTACCCAGATGGTGATATTTTGAGAGGTTGTAGAACCCAATGGGAATGGGGCTCAGTTCAAGGAAGTGGCTCTCTTTGGGCATGGTCCTTGATGTTTATGGCCTGGGGAAGCTTCTTATTTTTTATGATGCTGAGATGTAGGAAAGCAGCTGTCCCATGATCCAGTCCCACAAAGCCACCCCTCCAGGCTTTCCCCACCCTGGTAGACTGTATCCCTTCAAATCGTAAACCAAAATAAACCCCTTCCTCAAATTGCTTCTCATCAGGTGGTCACAGAACAAAAGAATGACTAGTACAGTTTCATCTAAGACAAAAACTTATCAGTGCAGTGAATCTACTGTCTCCTAACTCCAGGCATGCTCCATAAAATAGAGGCAGGCTAAGGCCAAACTACCTAGATTGTTGGATCCGTCATTTCTCAGTGCCTCATTTTCTTCATCTACTGAAAAAAGTAGTAGTTTGTTTTCGCATTACTGCCTAGACCATTGTACCATTACATTGTATTCTACAAATTTCACATTAATAATGGTATCTAAGGATTTAAGTGTTAATAAATAACATATGTAAAATGTTTACCTCTCGCAGAATCCAACACATTCTTCCTAATAATGTTGCAGTGACATGTAATATGTCATTCTGCAAGTTTCTTAACTTACAGGAAGAGTCACAGTCCCATTCACAAACAATAATGACAAAATAGTCTCTGTATTGCATGATCACTAATAAAAGGAACCAATTGGGTTTGCATGGTGGTCCAAAAACTGAAACCTATTATATAACTTACTGATTCACCATGAAACGTTTTTATCAGAAGAAAATTATTTTTTATAATATGCTTACAACCTGAATTATAGCAATTACAATGTTATGTTTCTGCTGTAAAAATTTGTAGAAAATTTAGTTGATCAAAAGAAAATAAAGTCAAGTGTGATGGCACACACCTTTAATCCCATCACTCAAGAGGCAGAAGCAGGTGGATCTCTGTGAGTTACAGCCAGCAAATACTACACATTGAGACCCTGTCAAAAAGCCAAACAA